TAAGGAATATTTATTTTATTATTTTGTATTTTCTTCAGATCGCAAGTCAGCGACAGAAAGTGTTGCACGCCAGTGACGTATCTTGACAATGATTAGCGTCAGTGGTTAAAATCTTGGCGAGCGTCATTATATCGGACGGATATGCGGTACGAAAGAATTAAAAGGCCAGCGAGACAGAACCAAATAGTGAAAGCAATAGAAGTCGGCGATCTTTATCGCGGAATGATGACATTGCGAGTCATGAACGCCGCAAACACGTGTTATGCGCTTATCGGCCGTTCGCCGCTCCGTGATGGACGACAATCTGGATGTATGATCGGGCTTATTGCTAATCTCGGCTGATCTTGAAGAATGGCGTGCCATTTGTTTGGTTTCGTTTTATTGGTGCCGTCCGTTGGTGGTTCTTATGTGGAACTTCGGCGTTTGATTGGGAAAACTGTGAATTCATTAGAGTTCTTCAAGATTGAATCGCCGCGTACCCGCGTAATTATTTAACTGTTGTAAATTTGCAAGTCGGACGTAAAAAGTTCCAGCAGCGATTTAACAATGTATGACTTTTTTATTGCTGTCTTATTCTGTTGCAGTTTATACATGTATTTTTGTAATATTTTTACTGTTTTGGCGATATGTTTGTTTGGAGAAAGATTTTTGTATCAATCTTCATTTAAAAAATTTATAACAGAGTATTTTATTATACCAATAGTATTGTTTTTTGCATCAGAATTAGAGAATGCCCTAGTTATTGATGACTCCTCAGAAATTTCTTGCAAACAATTAGACCTACATTTAGTAATATGTAAAATTTTGCTTCGATTTATTTATTTGTACCTGTAAGCATAGCACAATATATTAAATTAAAATGAAGTGGCTGGGACACGTTTAGAGGAGTAATGACCCACTACTAATTAAAACGGTCTGTGCTTCATAAACAGGAAGGATAATAATAAAGAATTTTATCCCAATTTTGTATCTAAAGGAGCACAAATGAAGCAAATACATTATATCCAACATCAAAAAAGTACTTCATTTCAATTTCGTAGAAATCATGAATAAAAATTCTCTGTTTGCTCATCCTCCCACACTTTCTTTGACACTGTGGAGCGGGAAAAAGTGGTGTCAATTTTTTATGAAATTAAATGAATTTTAACCGATCAGGTTTGCACAAGTTGCTTTAGTCACATGTTGTGAGCCATTGAATGTTTTCGGTAAATCTTAGCCACTGATATTTTGATATTTAACAGTTCTGATGCTTACGTCAAACGTCACTCTAAAACTAGTTGTCGTAGAAAAATTATAGCATGCCAAAATTCATTAATTAAGTACTCGTCTTGTACTTGTCTAATTAAAATAATTAAAAGGTATGGAAGTATTCTTTTCCAAAGAAACTTCCACAAGCTAATGTAATACTTTTTATAAAACTTCTGGATTCCTCCTGCGTCGGTTTTTGTTGACTCGAACTTGCAAACGTTTCGCCAATCATGACTGTTGGCTTCTTCAGAGCTTGACTGAAACGCATTTTACTCTGTATCTGCTTATATATTGTTTGAGGGGGGCATAAAGACCGTCTCGGAGGACTGACTCCCGTATTGGTGAAGCCGAAAGCAATCCCACAATTGCCACTGTTGCCTTACTTACGTTGAAAACATCACTGACCACATATTAAAAATTCTAAAGAAATATAACGTCGAAACCAGATTTACCACTTGTCCAAAATTCTCTCAACAACTTCGATTCGTAAAAGACAAAATTTCAATTGAGATGTCAGGAGTTAACAGCATTCCATGCATATGCGGCAAAGAATACATTTGAGAGACCGGAAATAAAATGTCAACTAGGCTCAAAGAACATGAAGGAGCCTTAAGACTAAGACAAATAAACTCATCAGCAGTTGCCGAACACAATTACGAAACCGGACATAAAATTTTATTCGACAAAACTAAAATTCTTGCATGCAATCAATTCTTCTACCAACGAAAAATCCGAGCGTCAATAGAAATCTATCAGCAACCTAACAATTTTAACCGCGACTCAGGTCTTTACCTGTCACCAATTGGGAATCAGTCATCGGATACTGTGTTTATGCACCTCATTTAGCTCGCTCCCACTCAAACAATATATAAGCAGGTACCGAATAAAGTGCGAGACAGTTTCAGTCAAGCTCTGAAGCAGCCAACAGGATGATTGGCGACACGTTAGCAAGTTTGACTCAACAAAAACCGACGCAGGAGGAATCCAAAAGTTTTATAAAAAATAAGTTTTCTTTCACCCATTCACGAATTTACAAACATATCAGAAGGTGAATGAAGGATATTTGGTCGATTTAGAGTTGTGATTTGCTTGAAAATTTTAATGAAAAATATGAAAAATAGCGAAATTTTTGTTGAGGACCGTAATTTACTTAATTAGAAATATTTAATCACAATATATTTAACTATTAGTTAGTTATTCGTCTATACAGTTAAATATAATCTTATTCTGGATCATTTAAGTTAAGTTAAGATGGTAATCTATAACATATGGAAAGGAATGGAGCATTAGCTTTCACCATACTATTGTCAGTGTTGAGGGGAAAGAAATTCGACATCAAAAGACGATTTTATCTCGTCACATACAGTGGAGATAAAAGTTTGCGAAAGCACTTTATTTTACATTATTCTAACCAAATGTAAAGTCTGATACTAATTAATTGTTTGTGTTGGTTACAAGTTTCTAGACTTTTTGTCGAGTTATCTTTAAATTTAATGTCATTGAAGTCTGATAAACAACAATATCCAAATGCAATCAAAGCTAGTTTTAATGCGATCGAAAGAAACTTTAAAACTAATTAAAAGTCGACATTCTTTAAGAGAAAACTCGGCGGCAAAAAAAGACGCATTCACGCAACACTGATTGCTCGAGATGCATCTCTTTAAATAAATGAACAGGGCAAACGAATGACCTTCACGGTGACAGCCGCTTTAAAAATAACTCTAAAATTGACTTTCTTCCGAGCTTAATGCGCCATGACATAATTCGTAAACAGTAGCCGCTTTAACGGTTGAATGAACTGTTTTTTTCTTTATCTGATTCATCTAACAGGGACGCAAATCTAGTCTTCGCCGTGCGTAGATTTTTGGAGAGAAAGTACGCCGAATGACGTAAACAACAATAACTAAAATGATATATCGTCTATTGACAATGGGACCCGGAGAATATTGCTATAATGGTATTGTTATGCAACGGAAATTTACTTTATAAACACAAAACGTCGAAGCTTTCTCATAGGGTAACCTTATTATATATCGTTTTATGTGGAAACACGAACTGACTTAAAAAACAGGAAAAATAAACAAGCGAGCGTGAGCAAACACTGGCAAGTATATTGACAAATGTAAGATGATCAACTCGCGATATCCACGCGAATGGACAACAATGGATCGAAATTTTATCTATATAGTTAAGGGCATTCAAACAAATATTTCACAATAATAGTTATCCTTAATTGTATATCATAATGGAGACTGGCGTTTGAATTTTGAAGTCTGAAGTCTACAGAATCGCCCAACGAATACATAAGCCACTTTTATTGCTTGTCATTCTTTCTTTTTCCGGAGTGTTCCTTATTGTAATTTATTCAAAAGCATTGAAAATGATATCTCAACGGCGTCCCGATAGGATACAAGTAAATAGGATAAAATGTTATTCATTGTATTAGGTACTCTTATTTTTTTATTAAACAAGTTGACCTCTACACAACTTTTGGCTGAGGTCCTGAAGAAATATAAACGTATTAAGCGAAACGTTGGCTAAGAAACACTTTAATTTGTTGTCCATATAAGGAACTGTCATCTCCTCTTGACGTTGTAATTAACTGGTCGATGGACATATCGATCAAGTAGTCAGTCCTCTCTGGTGTCACTTCCCCAATGGCTTGACCAAACGTAGCCTAAGATCCTTCATTTGAATGTCGTGTTGTGTCCTGCTATAAATCCTTTCATTTCCATATAAGTTCCACAGGATTTAGTTCGTAATCATATGACGGTGTGGGCAGTATAGTTATACTATGTTTTTCGGCCATACCTTCCCTGACTTATTTCATAAAATGGAGTAAATTTGTTATAAGTAATAGTTCCTTCTTTGTGAAATTATCTGCAAATTCAGTATGTTTGGTGGTTAACCAGCTATTAAATTCTTGTTTTTTCCATATTGAAGTTGGAATTCATAACTACTACTGAATCAACCGGAATATGTGTTCCCTCTTAACGTCCTGTGGCACCTTGGTACCGGTTGACGACAGGTTTTCCATGAAAGCTTGGCGAACAGTTGTTATATCTGTGTCTTGTCATATTTTTGGTACTATATAACCTTCATTAATCTACGTTTCATGAAGTATTTTTGTCACCAGCAAAGAATTTCGCCGCTTTCCCGTTATGTTTCTAACCGACATAAAAGTTTTTTAGTAATCAATGCATTAAACGCATTAAACAAAACAACTTTCTCAATTTTTGATTGAAACTCACCGGTGTTGTATGTAAATTAATTGCCATTTCATGAACACCCCGTGACTGTTATGGATTCAAAAACAATTTTTCAAAGAAACTTCCACAGGCCACTGTAATACTTTATACAAACACTTCAACTTCAATGATTCAAAAACACCTTTTTCGAAGGCAATTTAATTCCAAAGAAGAAGAATTTCTTTACTCATGGTCCTATTAATTCGAGTTTTCTTTAACATTTGCTACTAAGCAGCATATTTTGACTGAACTTAAACATTGCGCGTTAATCTAACTATTGATTACCATGATTTTCAAAGAAAAATGCTAAGTCATTTAGTGAGAAGAATAAAAAGCCTGGGAGAAATTTTAGCTTGAGATATGTTCACAAAATTTCTTATGGTATTAACAATAACATACCAAATTGTAATTTTCCAATGCGCTGCAGAATTCAAAACAGTTTTTTGCTTATTTATTGCTATTTTGTGCTATTTTCATTACGCTTCAATTTCTGTTTTGTTTCAGCTGTTACCGTCAGATATTTAACCAAGAGGTACATAGGCGAATACAGTTCAACTAGTGGTAAGTACGCATTGCTCGAGAAACTATGTTTTTTAGTTTCATATTAATGCTATAAATGCTGTTTTGGCTTATAAACACCCTGTACGTGACCGAGGAATTTTTGGAATTAAACTATCAAATTAGGATATCCTTGGACGTACCTGTCTTTTTTTCTAGCTTCTTTTGTGAAAACAAATTTACTTATTTGTAGATCAAGTTTATGATTATTTTTAAATGAAATTAAATTTTTATAATTCAGTTGAATAATCTGCATGGTGTGTTCTAAACTTGCGTGCATAGAAATCGACACATATTGCTCTGATGCTCACATGCTCTCTGAAAGACAATTTAATATGCTTTATACGAGTATAAATTGATTAAAATTTATTTTTGATTTTTAGGTTTAGCATAATGAAATATCTGCACGAGTTTTTAGGTTATTGACAATTAGCAGTTCAACACTTATTTTTTAATAATGGGTATGACCCTCTCTTGCCCTAATAACATCTCTTACTCGATTAGTTATAGATCTAATCAAGTTCGCTATTGTTTCTTGTGGAATGTTAAGCCACTCTTCCTCTACTGCAACAATAAGCTCTGGGATCGAGGTTGTGGTATGAAGTCCAGCTCGTATTCTCCGTTTTAGCTCATCCCAGAAATGTTCGATCTGATTAAAGTCGGTACTGCATACTGGCCACTCCCCAACTCAAAAACCGACTTCTGTAATGTAATCTTTCACGATCCTTGCGGTGTGGTAACACACGATCTGATAAAATATTCTCGATGTACCTAGCACCTGTTAAATCTCCTGCCCCTGGACGACGCCCGCCTCTACGGATGAAAACAGGGTCGGTTCGTGCGTCCATAGGAATTGCATCACATATCATGCTGGAACCAGCTCCATAAGGGCTCCGCTCTTCATTGCAGCCTTCTGCAAATCGCTCGCCTGTTCTTCGGTACACTTTTTCGTCGGTATCTACCGTGCTTATGCGTATGCGTGCTTGTCGATTAGCTGAGTCTTCTTCTCACTGTCCACTGACTAATAGCCACTCGTCGAATTCTATGAAACTGTTGTTGCACTTGAACTGCATAAAGTTGACGAATTCTTATTAGTGTTGACACAATAAAGCGGTCATCACGAGGCGTTGTAATTCGCGTTCTGCCTGTTGCAGAGGGCCGCCTAGTAAAGAATCCAGTCTCCTCATACCGGTCGCACAATCTTCGAACTGCTGCGCGTGTAATATCCAGTTCTCGGCAATAGCTCGCTAGCGAACTTCACTTTCGTTTAAAGCAATAACTTGAGCGGCTTTTTGCGGCGTAACATGCATCTAGCTTACACAATTAAACGCTATCCAAATGGTTTAAAACAAATAATGTGAAAATTCCATTTGAAAAGGCAATTAATTTAAGTCTATCACATTATAGCTACTGCATGAACATGTTTCATTTGTTTAACCGTAACTATGCATATAAAAGATTAGCACTCTTGACAAATTTAAACTCATACTAAAGCATATCATATTATCTTCCAAATAGCATGTTTATTTTTTGGGTCAGATGAATAGTTTCTGGTAAAAAAAAAAACTAAAATCAACTTATAACTTGATATATAACTTTATTATAACTTTATCAGTGAGAACATTTTTTAAATATATAGTTCACAAGTTCTCTAGTTCTCTAGATACTTTTAGTACACCCAGAGGGAGTTAGCAATATCTTTTTATAAGATAGCTTTGCGGACAATTCAGATCCCTTTTCTATGGTTATTTTTGAGCATGCACATTAAAAGTAAACTAAATAACGATAAAGCATTGGTTTATTTACGAAGAATTAAAATAAATCAATATTGTCGTGAGTATTATTGATTTTGTTAAGTATTAAGTACAAGCTTTCTTAAATATAACGAAAGACATATATTATTGGCACTTGTAAACATAGCATTTTATTTTAGAAAAACATTTTACATTCTTAATTAGCTATATTGACAGCTAACCAAAACTAACAAATTTCGCCCTCTATCTTGTCCAGATAAGACGATAAAATATGAAGGCGAGCGTGAAAGTTATTGTAAAATGTTGCTTCTTTTGCAGATTATATATTGTAATTTAAAGAGGACGCTTCTGGCAATTCGGATGACATAGACGAATTTCTCCATTTCTAGCAATAATTGAATTCCTTGTTTGTCGCCGGCTGATCTGTGCCTTCGATAACTAGTGGGAAAATTAAATCTCACCTACTTACTCGTACCACAGATTTGTATTATCTGAGAAATACAAGGATGACTCGTCAAAAGCACCAGGATGCCTTTTATGAAACTACGAATGATAAACGTGATGCATTCTAGGTTGAAAAATATGAACGGTTTAAGGATTTAAATTGATTTTATGTTATTTCAAGGGCTGTTCTATTGATATTATTTGGGACAAAAAATCTGAGATCTTGTTTATGGCTAATGTGAATTATTCAGTTATTTCGTTTATTTTTATGAGGTCTTTGCAGATTGCGTTTGTTCAGTTCCGGAAACTACGGTCATCATCTGATGAGGCATCTATTAAACAATATGATATTCAAAATACGACATTCTGTGTTAATCTCAAAATTTAAATTGTCAAATACAACTAAATCCATTTTTTTATGATTTTAGGTTATATTTTTTTAATTATAAATGGCACTCTGAATTTGATATTATTGAGAATGCAATAATCGAATGGATACTTTTGTGTAGCTTTCTCAACCAACCAGAGTTATTACATTGCCAAAGATGTCTACATATAATATTCTGTATACTTACATAATTTATTAATTCGTACGGAAGGTCGAATATACCTTATTATTATTTTTTCTTTTTTTTCCTATTTTTAGAACACAATATAAAAATAATGAAATGAAAAGGCTATAACCCTCTAGTCATTACCTATTAACCTGTACTATGCACCATTTTCTTTCTAGCCTACGATTTCTACCCACTATATCAATTCAAAATAGGTAGCTTAAGAGAATAAGTCCCAAAATTTCAACTGTTCAAAAATAGGCAAAGTCTGCCAAGTTTTTAATATTACTTTATTTTACTATTAGTTACTACCTATTAATTTAAAAATATATCAATTGACATCTTTAAGAAGCAAATAACTCTCTATTATTAAATATCTTTTAAAATCACGCAGAATTCTTTATCACATAAAAAATAATATAATAATAATATACTGTGTATTCTGTTAAAATCATTGAGTGTTGTCCAATAACTTTTTACCTTGGCCCATTAGTATTGGTAATGGTATTTAAGGGGTGCCGCCCCCCGCGGGCGTCCAAGCACTTAGACCACCAAATGGGCCCGTTGTGCCCCCAGACCGCGCTAGAGGGCGTCCAGAATGCCGCCCCTCCTAATACCGTGCACTCAGTCGGGATCGATCAGAGCCGTTCCGAAGATTCCAAATCTCGCCCATGTCAAAGCAGGGCACTCGGTGAGCAGATGATGCGGGGTCTCCTTCCCTTCCATGCACCACCCGCACTCCGGGTGGTCTCCAATGCCTAGCAAACAAAGATGTCTCCTAAGCCTGGAATGTCCTGTGTAGGCCCCTATTAAGGCTCTACACTCCCTTCTGGACAGTCCAAGCAGCTCCCTGGTCCAGGGGAGGGCGGATCCATTTATCATAAGCCTCGCCTGCCTCATTCCAGGAGCAACCTTCCAGCCTACCACAGTATGTTCTCTTACCCGGTGTGACATTCCTCACCACCTTCACTTAAACTGAGAATGGATGCTACCCAAAAAAATCCCATAAGGAACAGTTTCTTTGCCATAAATTTGGATATAAATGAGAAAGCAAAAAAGTAATTAGAAAAGATGCACGATAGAAATTAAAAAAAAAAAGACCGTGCATCTTAAAAGTGATTAGAGATATTCCATTTTGGCGATCTTTCGTTTCACAAAAAAAGGTGAACCCTATGTCGAAAATGTGTTAACCATATATTCACAATGTTCATTGTTCCAATTCTGCAACATAAAACTGAATTTTTAAGTGCACTAATGTGCATGTAAATCTGACTTAGGTGGAACGAATCGTCCAGTGTATGGCGCTTTTTGTAGGTTATGCACTAATCACGCTTACGACTGCATTTTACTGGGGCTAGGCTGGGGCTTTAATTTAATGGGCAACATATCTCGTGTTTTGTTAACAGTCAGACGAAAGTTTGATTTTAGTGAGTAAATAGGAAAAATGTTGTTTCGTTGTTTTTATGACAAAAATAAACAATCCATAACAAATAACACCGAACCCGAAACATAAATATCGACCACTTAAAGCTAAAAGCGCCGACGTATATTATTATTAATCCCGCACAGTTTCGTACAAAACGAAACTATTTTTTTAAATATTTGCTACTTATTCTGATATTCTTGATCACTTTATACATTCTATGTATTACTTGGATTCATCAGACAGTACTGAAAAAATTCTAAATAATCTTTAGTTTTCTAGAAAAATAAAAATTTCCGAAGAAATCGACTATTTAAAGGACTCTTTGTCCTCAATAATCTCAATCTCTCACAACCACAATTAATTATTCAGTATAGAGTATTGCCCTGAGTGTTTTGTATAATCCTTGCAATGACAATCTGCATTTCTATATAATTCCATTGATTTGGATAAAACAATATTTTTCAGAAATGTTTCAGAAAAGCGGAAAGTACTTTGTGTGAGATCACTTTGTTAATAAACTGTGGAGCAGAAAATCTGTATTTAGAAAAAGTTCGATAAATTACAGCATAGCCTAGCATAGAACTGCCATCCTGTCTCAATAATTGAAAGAAACTTTAGATTTAAGTATCATTTGCAGATGCGACTGTTCGTGGTATATGTTGACTTAACCCGCAATCGTTTAATATTATTATTGTATAGTTTCCAATAAAAATTGGTGGTTAAGTAAGTGTTTTTAGAAATGATTTGTCCCTTTTCTTGTAGCATAATAATTTCTACAAACTACAACAAAATATTTTATGTTACCCGCTGCTTGTTATTCCGGAT